AAAAAAAAAAGAGTGAAATTCTTGTCTCCCCTCACACCTCTTAGCCTAGGAAATGGTGCCCGGTCTCCGCTGAGACCTGACTGAGACCAAAGGCAAGGCGACCTGTTAGCAGGTACTTGAGAGAGGGGCTGCTGGCTGGATTGGGCTGGAGGCGTGAGAAGCCCCATCAGCCTCCTCCATTCAGGTCTCCTAATGACCATATAAAAGGGCCAGAGTGGCTTTCACGGCAATCAGCTCCCTCATCCCATCCCATCCCATACACAAAACCCCACGGCCATAACGGGCGGCCCAGGGGGACCGCGTTCCTGCATATCTATACGTCCCCACCGCTGCGGTGGGGTTATTGGAGCTGTTTTCCCAAGCTGGGGCCGTTCCTCCCAAAAGTCACACTCCAGGTCGAATAATTCGGCCTTTGATGTTGGGAGCATCGCTGGATGGCGGACAGGCTGGGGAGGTCCAAACTGGCTGCAGCATTCCAGATGTCTGTCCCCAGATAAATCAAATCCAGACCCAAAAGATTTGTTGCAAAATTCCTCTTGCTTTCCCCAGACGTGTAATTCTGGCAGCAAAAGCAGCACCCGGAAAAGTTTGTATTTTTTCCAACCATCATCCTTTTTCTGCACCATGTCTCTGGCTGTCAAATGCATCAGCAGGAGTGCATCAGTATAGTTGGGGTTCCTGGTTTACTTTTTTCTTTTTTCTTTTTCTTTTTTTTCCTTTTTTCTTTTTCCTTTTTCCTTTTTTCTTTTTTTTTTTTTCCTTTTTTCTTTTTCCTTTTTTCTTTTTTCTTTTTTTCTTTTTTCTTTTTTCTTTTTTCTTTTTTTCTTTTTTCTTTTTTTTCTTTTCTTTTTTCTCTTTCCCCTTCCCTTCCCTTCCCTTCCCTTCCCTTCCCTTCCCTTCCCTTCCCTTCCCTTCCCTTCCCTCCTTTTCCATTTCCCCTTCCATTTCCCCTTCCATTTCCCCTTGCCCTTTTTGTCCTCTCCATTTCTTTTCTCTTCAAAAGATATCTCTCTGTGGGTGATCAGATGAAAACAGAAATGTTTGATATGAGCACTTCCAAAGAACAAGTAATGGATTCTGATCTTAACAAGACTCAATGCCATTTTGGTTATAAAAACTATGTTTTTTTCACTGTCCTACACAAATGTATCGAAAATAATGACAGTTGAAAAAAGTTGAAAGAACAAACCAACTTTATATCCATCAGTCCAGAGCTATTTTCTTTCCACTCATTTAACTGACTACAAATGCTGCTTTTGGTTTTCTCCAAGCCACAGCCCTTTTTGTTGTTCTTTGGCTTTTTTCAGAGGGGAGGAGGTGGACTTTTGTTGAAGGGGAGAAATCCCCCATGTATCACTATAAGACATGAAGGTTTAAACATACCTCTCCCATAGAGGTCAACATTCACCATCTAGGTTTAACCTCCCAGATCCATCTAAGCTCTCCATATGCTCAGTGTGAAGGCTCAGTCATCTCAAGCAATCAAGACATCCTTTTACCATCCATTTGCTTTTCTACTTCAACCCAAAGTTTGGCTGAACTTTGAACTTTGGGTCATAATTGAATGTTCTGCACCAGACATGCTTGTGGGTCCTTAGTACACATAGATACACCCAGTTTTTAATTTCTCTTTGTCCCTGTCCCCAACCCTTCCCCAGGACACAGTATTAAATCTGACTTTTTTTTGCCTTCCCTCTGTCAATAAGTCTCATATGACTTCTGCTCTTCTCTTGCTAGTCTTTAGCCCTGCAATTGGTAAGGAATTCATCTACACAACCACATCCCTTGAATTTAAATCCCCAAGTTTTATTTAGTTTGATTGTCTGCAAGCAACACGTTCTTCTCATGAAATGAAGACAAATAAAAAGGAGAAAATGAAAGCAACCAAAAATAAAAAGGACAGCTCATCTCTCCAGTCACAACATGCAGGAAGCGTTTGCTAAAGCTCTGATTTCAAAAGAAAAAGGTGCTGCTTTCTAAGTCAACCTTATGCCATGATAGCCTTAGAAATTATTTAAGCAACAGCAGGAGAGGCCGTGGATTTTCCCTGTGATAAATCACACACTTCTGCTTTCTTGGCTGCCCAAATAATTTTTCCTTCCCTCCCAAAAATACAGGATTCAGAGGCTCTGGAGCTGCAGCAAGCTCCCTGCAGGGGGAACACTGCCTTCATGAAGTGAGAACCAAGCTCTGCACAACGCGTCCATTCTCCATGGCCAACCCCCATAACCTCACCTGGTCCTCCTCACTCTGACTAAATGAGGGAAGATTTAGGTTGGATACCAGGGGGAAGTTTTTTCCTATGAGAGTGGTGAGGTGCTGGAACAGCTGCCCAGAGAGGCTATGGATGCCCCGTCCATCCCTGCAGGTGTTCAAGGCCAGGTTGGATGGGGCCCTGGGCAGCCTGGGTGGTGTGAAATGTGGAGGTTGGTGGCCCTGCATGTGGTGGGGAGTTGGAGCTTGTTGATCCTTGAGGTCCCTTCCAACCCAAACCATTCTATGGTTCATTCTATGATGCTATGACTCTCTAAGATAAACAAGGCAAACCAGTTTCCAGTTTTAAGACCAAGAAGATGGCTGAGTTTAAATGACTCACCCAGGGTCATCCAAGAGATCTTCCCCAGGGGAGTAAGTGGTCAGAACACAAAACTTGCTGGAGTTAAAGCAGCATCTGGATGATGCTCTCAGTTTTTTGGGGGGTCCTGCATCAAGCCAGGAGTTGGACTCTATGGATACCTTCCCAGTCATGATATGCTATGACTCTATGAGATCTATGGCAGGAAGGAGAGTGTATCTCTATTATTTTCACCCACAGATATTGCCCTGAACAGAGATCCATTCTTTGTATGTCATTTTCAGCAATTTAAGGGTTTGGTATTTTGAGACTTCAATGCTAATAAGAGCAATCAAGCACCTATGGATGGACACTGCAGAGGACCACGGGAACTGCAAGGTCTCTGCATGTGGCTTGGAGGCAACTGATACAGAGCTGCTGCAGAGCCTTCAAGAGAAATGGGAAATGGAAAAGAGTTTCACATCTTACATGAAGTCCTATAGAATGATCAGTTCATCACAAGAAAGTCTCCTGTACTCCCAAGATAAGCCATACCAGACCTGCTCCAACTCGTGACTGACTTTCTACCATGTTGCCATTCCTTGGGGTTTTCTGAGAATATCCTAATATTTAGACTAGGTCTGATTTTCTTCTTCTTTTATGTTTTGCTTTCTTGCTTTATTCCTCTCCTTCTCTCTCTCCTTCCCTTTATTTTCCAACAA